GTAAATAAACTAATAAAATGATAAAATATATAATAAATATATAAAATATATAATAAAATTTAAGGAAAATTATAAGACAAATGTTAGTAAAAATTTGTTAATATTACAACATCTAATGTAATTTGGTTTGACTTTTAATAGAGGGTTATATTAATGAAGCAATTCTTACTTGGGAAGATGAACATTTAATTTTATATTCTGGAAAAAGATTTGTATCATGGAATGCATGTGAAAATTTCATCATTGATTGAGCTAAGAAACAGGGTTTTCGAATTGTTAAGGATCGATTCTGTTGTGAAGAGGGTTTTATTCATTGGTATACTTTTTTATATAATCATAGTAGATTATATAAGTCTACTTCAGATCAAGATACCAACACAAAGAAATCCTGGTGCCCATTTTTGATTAATATATCATGCTGAAAACCAACAATTCTGAAATAGCTATAATTGTCAACAAAGTAAAAGATGAGTATAACCATATGTTAAGTCAAGACATAATCGAGTTTGAAGATGGTAAAAAATTCACAGATCAAATAATAGAGGATGTATGATTTATAACTACATATTGTAAGTTTGGTACAACAATACAGAAAAAGTTCTTGGAGAAAAAATATCCTTTATATCTGGTTTATTCAAAAAACTTTTATACTGTTATGCAAAAATTTTAGCCTACCAAAAAATTTCTATTTGATGATGCTGCAAAAGTTTCTAATTGGTTGAACCAAAAGAAAGACAGTGACCCACAATAGGTTGTTGCTAGAGGGTGGGATAGTGAAAACTGTTTAATACATTTATTATGGATGACTTCAACACAAGTTGAATATTGGATTAAGTATTCTGATTGTATACTTAATGATGACTCATAACACTAATAGATATGGAATAGCATTGTTATTATTTGTTAGCTTTGACAATGACCGTCATAATGTATTGCTTGCACAGGCACTTTTAATAGACGAAAGTCTTAAATCTCATAAATGAGTATTTCTTAAGATAATTGAAGCAACCAAAACCCAACCAAAAGTAATGATTACTGATGCAGACCCAGCTATTGCTGTGGCTATTCATCAAGTTTTTCATTCTACATATGCCATTCATTGTGCTTTTCACATATCACAAAATTTACATAAAAATCTTAGGAAATCTTTAGGAAATGATTATCCAAATTCAGTTGATTTTTAGTATAGGTGGGCATATATAATTATTATACAATTATAATATATATAACTTAATTATTTTGAACTAATTTAAGTAATTTTATAAATTATTAGGGTTAGAGTTAAGGTTAGAGTTTAAATTGGCTCAAATTAGTTAGGTTTTATATATTATAATCTTGTAATAATTTATATATGCCCACCTATACTAAAGGAGATCCTCCTAGTGCTAAACATTATCTTGAAGTTCTATATAAAACTAAAACATTTTGGGCGTATTGTTATACTGCCTATAAATTTATGAGTGAGATGATTACTACCTCTCGAGTCGAATCCATGAATGCATGTTTAAAAAGGCTAATCTGTAATTCAAGTATTTTGCTATATGATCTAGTAAAAGAAATTCATAAGCTACTTGATAATTATGATAAAGAAAATAAGTATAGATTTTGTCAATTAGCCACTCTATCTGTTAAAAATTAGGAAAAAATGAACTTTCTGTTTACAAAGGTTAATTAGTGTCTCCAGCGGTTTCTTGGATCTATGATGTTAAAAATATATAGATATGAAATAAACTAGTCATTATATTATATAGCGACCCAAGTTGATTGTGAAAAAGTCAAGCACTTAAATAAAGTAAGTAAAATGATAAATTCTGTTTAAGTTTGGAGTCAGTTATTTTCATATATTAAAGCTAGGCTTTATCAGTTTAACTTATGAAAAATAAACCGATTTCAAGCTCTATTTTGTTTTACAAATTGTACATTCAATATGTTTAAGCTAAATTTGCAATGTTAGGAATATGAAAATATACTGTTAAATAAATCAGCCGTTAATCTTCCACAAACAACTTTGAAACATATAATCAAATTTGTTGAAAATTATAACATTATAGAAATATGGGCAGTTAGTGTTAGAAACTCATTGCAAACTAAACACTATATTCTCTTATTACAAAACTATAAATATATTTGCTCATGTCTTTCAATTATACGATCTGAAGTTATATGTAGACATTATTTTCAAATAATGTTAGTTACAAAAACAGCAATGTTTCACATTCAGCTTATACTATCACGATAGTATTGTATTAGACAAAATAGATCAGAGGAGCCTTTCTTAGTTGCTGATAAATTTATGCAAGAAATTGAACCTATAGTACTGAATTATAATAGATGTGTTTTATATTTAAGTGTGTTTGATCAGACTGAAACAAACTTTCATGAAGAGAACCTAACAGTACTTGAACAAAAAATTGTGTATGGAAGATTGCATGGAATATACAAAAAAGCCTTGCGCAAAGCATTACAGAACAACAAGTCATAGCAGCTTATTAATTTATTAGAAGAATTTGTTGAAATAGATAGTGACAAGTCATCAGATCCTGAAGAAAGTTTGTATGATAATACCAGTGATAAGGAAAATTATGATTCTGTAACAGCAGTTCAAATACAAAATCCCAAAAAGCATCGAAGCAAAGGTCAGCTATTAGGTACCAAAAGGTTTAAATCTTCTTATGAGAATTCTAAATCAACAAAAAATCAGCACTAATGCAAAAAGTGTGGAAACATTGGCCATTAGCAGAAGAATTGTAAGGTAACAACACGTTAATATAGGTAAAAGTAATATATGCTGTTGTAACTACTGCTAGGATTGTATATTTTATTGTAATTATGAAACAATTAAACGATTGTTTATTGTATATGAAACAATCAAACGATTGTTTATTGTAAATGCCGTAGTTTAGTATTCATCTCAAATTTGAAATTTTAGCATATCTGTTACAAAACAAATATACTATTAGTTGAGACTAGGTTCAAGTATTTGTTGTACATCAAATTAAAATTGCATCAGGCCAAAAGTTAAATACTGAATTCTATTAGGATTAGAGAGAAGCCCATATTAGTGTTTAGGGTAGGTATTAGTGTGATTATAGCTATTTTGGCTTAATGCAGCATTAATTTGAAGCACATGTTTAGAATAAATAGGCTGCCATGAATAGAATTCAAGCAGATTTATTTAATAAATTTATTTGATTTCTATTCACAGCAGCCCAAATAATCAAGATTGTTAACATTTATTGTATTATTATATGACGCCCAAACTTTAGCTTACAAGGATTGAATCAGAAAATGTGTATCAGGTTGGTAATACAGACAAACTTCTTAAAATTCGTTAAGGTCAGAGTTAGTTCATAGTTAAGAGTTAGAGAGGGTTAGTTTTAATAGTAAAGTTGTTTAACGAAAACTTTTTTGTTAGTGACAAAAGGTTGTTTTTTATGCTGATTTTTGAATTATAAACAATTTTTGGCAGAGCAAAACATTTGTTTTGAATCTTAATTGTGTTATGTTCATCTAATCTTGAAATCTGATTCATAGATCAGGAGAACTATATTACCAACCTGGTAGACTGATTAATGCGATACATTAAAATAAGAGTCATGAATTAGCAAGAATGACTATCAAAAATACAAGTTATGTGAAGCTAATATATTTTGATAGTCTTTTTAATTTGTTTGGCAATGTTTATAATTGTATAGTATAGTAATATAAATTGTATAGTATAGTAATATAATTTGTAGTATATATATAGTTATATATAATATCACATAATTTTAAGGGCCTGTGGTAAATCACTATGGCAGTAAATAATAAAATTCTAATTTTTATTTATTTATAAATAAAATTATATAAAATATATTAAATATAACTTAAAGGTAGAGTGAAGTGATCTACATTTCAATAGTGATCATATTGCTTAATTTTTTTATAATAACATTCAATTGAAATCAGGTGATGATCATATATTATTTATGTTGTACTACCTAGGCAATTTGCCTAGATAGTACAATATAAATAACATATGATCATCACCTGATTTCAATTGAATGTTATTGTAAAAAAATTAAGCAACATGATCACTATTGAAATGTAGATCACTTCGCCCTATCTTTAATTTTAGATTTTAAAAAAATTAGTTAAAAAAAATGTAGATCTGTATCTTGATGAGTTGCAATATGAAATAGGCATAATAACTGAAATATAGGTACAAAGTTATGGTGGAATAGTTGAAAAGAGGAGGATAGTTGTAGAGAACTGGGTTAGTTATAGGAAGGAAGTTGCGTCGATAATAGAGTAGTATAATTATTTTATATATGTTGAATTATGTATTTAAAGGCTCAACTTTTTACCTTTAATAAAGTTCTTCAGACTTAGATTTCTTACTCATTTAAATATAAAATTGTCTTGTCGAATTCTTACTACATTATTATTTTATCGTGATTATGTTTTCACAGACTAAACACTTTATTTATTTATTTATTTATTTATTTATTTATTTATTTATTTATTTATTTATTTATTTATTTATTTATTTATTTCTCAATTGCATATAATTATTACAACTACAACATTGTTTTGCCATGGTCAAGTCCCCCATTATTTCAAGCTGTTATCTTGCTTAACAGTCTTTTAAAATAAATTATTTTTATTTTGCATCAATTCACACTAAATCGTCCTTATTGCAACTTACCATCATATAATCATTGATATTCTTATAATTCTTACTGCATTCCTTATAGTTATCCTGCATACAATCCATCTATAAATATTAGCAAATACCTCTTTCATTCACTATCACTGACCTAAACCTGGCACTCACTTACTGACACTCTCCCAATCCAATAGTAACACCGTCTTAACGATAGAAATATCAGATATACAATAATAACAAAATCATGAAGTGCCTTCATGATGAAGATACAGATAATAATGACAATATCATAAAGATGTATTCACAATACTACAACAATAAAAGTTCAATATAAAACCATTTATTCAAACATATCAGTGAAATCGAAGTCTGAGAACTTTATTCAAAGAACTATCAGCTCTTTTAAATACATTTTTAAATAGTAAACTATTTACTCAAAGTTACCATCAGTATTTCTTTCCTTCATAGATTTATCCTTTTCAATGCCTATTCCTTTTATCCCTCAATGATATTAAAGCCTGAGATAAATAACAACTATGCCTTGCCTCAATGAGTTATTGAAACCATTCCCATAACAAGATCTGACTTCTCGACACCTTCAACAAACATGCATCATGTTTTACACTGAAGTTCATCACCCACAATATGTTCAATGTGTTGCCTGACTATTTTAGAAATCGATAGTCAAACTAATTAGAAAATACAGTCAGACCTCTCTAAATGCATAGCATCGGGGCTATAGTAAAAAATTGCATTTAAAGAGGTTATGCATTTAGGAAGTAAAAATCTATAAGTGTTATATTAGTTGCATCCAAGAAAAGACATGCATTTAGGGAGGTTTTTCATATATATGCATTTAGAGAGGTTGCATTTAGGGAGGTCTGACTGTACCGTTAACTAATCTATTGCAGACTAAAAAAGGAATAATGGGATCTACACTTAAACATTTATCGGGGCACAGCGATCTCACTATAAATAATAATACAACGATAATAATAATAATACAAATATGGCGATAACAAGAAAAATAATAATGATAATAACAATGGTATGCTATTAGGCTAATAAGTAATACATATAATTTAATAATAAGAATAAGAATAGATAATAAACAAAGAAAAATATATGCCGAAGTTTCCTACAAGGTCGGGACGCAGAAAAATTTTAAGGCGTAATAGTAACACCACCTATACTAGGATGTAAATTTGGATCGTTATTCCAAGCTTCGCAAAAAATAATCATAAATTCAATCGGTGTCCCTTTAATAGGTGTTTCTCGTTTCCCTTAACCACTTGTAAAGTTATTTCTGAATTAAATTCTAAAAGGAGGTAAACCACATAATAACTCCCAGAAAAGTACACCGAAACTATAATATCAGAAGCTTTATCCGTTTATATGAAGAGTCTTCGAGATATTTTGGATCGGAAAAGCACAGGCCCCCCAGCAATAGATTTGGAGTTATTCTCTAATGATTTAAATATGTCAAAATCCGTAATCATTAATTTGTTGGACGCATTCCAGCGCTAATTTACCATCGTGCACTAATATATTCTTATCATG